TGTATCATTTTGGTGACATCGAAAATTTTCCTGATCTCCTCAAAGATCTCAGGCTTGTTCCTCTCACGGATCTTCATCCTGTCTTTCATAGCCATGATCATGTGTTGTGTGCGATCTTCAGCACCAGACTTGGAACTCTTCTCTGCAGCTCCTGAAAGTGCAAAGGCCGAGAATAACGACTTACAGAAATTTAAATAGCAAAAAAAAAAGAAAAAAGGAACTAAACGGGCAGTTCATTAATGGTCTTACTCTGGAGGCAATCAGCATTCAACAGTTCTTGGCATTTCTCGTGCACTTTGACTCCACAATCAGCACAGCGCATGCCCTGCCTGGCAATGCCCCACAGCAGGCCCTCACACTCGCAGCAGTAGGTGGGCGTAGTGGCCGTCCACACCTCGAAGTTATGAGGAGTGGTGCAGGAGATGGGGTAAATCAGGGCCTGTAGGCTCTTTTTGTAAACGTGGTTTTTCTGTGTGAGGAAGGAGGAAGAATAAAAGTTTAAAGAATGGATTTCAGTCCTTCAGATGCCATGGAACTTTCTTGGTGTTCTACAAAGAAGGAATTCTGTGATGGAAACACTGCTTGCTAAAGTGTTCAGACTTAAACCGAGGAAATCTAAAGAAATGCTGTTGCTTTTCTATTTACAAAGATGAAGATTGTTTGAATTTTCTTTTCACTTTTTTGAGTTATAGTTGTGTGCTTTTGCATTCCACTGTTTTTATGTCAGATTAGAGAGAGATTCATTTTTTAACCATCCATCTGAACATTTGACCTTATTTCACTTCGCTATACTTCACTTATTTTTCACTTGTCTTTGTTAATAACAATTCATTTGTAACACAATTAACAGCACAACTTTCCAACCTTTTCTGAGCCAGGGCACATATATATCATCAAAAAACAAAACAAAACTCACAGCACATCACCAAACAAAAAATCTCACAAAATGTATATGCAATTAAATAGAATAATCTAGAATTAAATGACCTCATAACTGAATAACATCTCAGCCTATTTAGTTGAAGACAATGCTTATATACTGGCAGGAATTGAAGAAAGACACTCACAAAGACCTTCTTTAACAGCTGATTTTCATAGCCATCTGCTGCCACCTAGCAGAATAGTATTTAATTGTTCCTTTTATGCCTTTCACTTAACAAGCAAAGAGCAAACATTATATGCAATAAATAAATAATAATTTTTGGCCCAATTAAGGGAAATTTAGTAATTTTCCACGGCACACCTAATGATCAGTGGTTGGGAATCACTGCATTAGACAAATTAATAAAAGTAAATTACAGGTATCCACCAAATAGTTGTAACTTAGTCACTTAGTCACTTATAATGTCAGGAGAGCTACAGTATATACAGTGACATTGTGAGTATTTGTACGAACAAAACTTCACTTTAGTTTTATTTGCATCCCATTACAGTAGGTGGAACTGAAGCCTTCCAGCAGAATACTACAGAGTCACAGATTAGTTTTTGTCAGTCTACAGTCTCTCTTCACTCTTAGCCTGTGTGTATAAGACATCACTGAAGTTCTTTGTCACTCACAAGCTCTTCATCTTTCAGGGAGGTCCGCGTGGCCAGCGTGTGGGCGAGTCCAGCTTTCCTGGACAGTATCATAGACTAAAGGGCAGAGGAAGAAAAAAAAACATGTAGGACTCAATCAGCCACGAGTAAATAGAGATAAAATAAAAAATAACTAGAGGTGAAAGAAAAATATTTGTATACTGTTGTGAGTTGGGTTTAAGTCTGAAGGATGAAGAAGGCAAAACTGAATCATCACAAACATTTCTGTAGCTGGTATTTTTAAACGACACCCAACACGATTGCCATTTTGTATTTTCTAAATTTGGTTAGAAAATGATGTTTCAGGTAAATCTTTCTTGGTATACTACAAAAGGACTAATATGGACTTAAAAGTATTGTGATTGTACTTTCCCACTGATGAATAATTGAAACACTGTCTTGGTAAAACGTAACAAGTTTAGAAGTTAGACTAGAAACCTAATCAAAGAGCTGCAACAACACTATAGAGCAGGCATGGGCAAACTAAGGGCCGGGGGCCGGATGTATCCCGTTCAGCTTTTTAATGCGGCCCTGCCAAACTTTTACAAATGATATAATTTATTTATATTATCATTATACTTCTGCCCTTTCCCTGCAATACCCACCTTTTCCCAATAGATGACATAGAAAATTATAAAAGCATTTTAGCATTTTAGCCTTTATGCATTTATTTTAATTTAAGTTCAATATAAGGACAATTGTGGGCCCACAAGTCAAAAGGTTTGCCCACGCCTGATATAGAGGGGATCCCCGCTAGTTTTATATACGAGTAAACTAGGTCATTTACATGAGGAAGAATTGATGGAGTTGTTATTTGTACAGTCAGAATTCTACTGCTACAAGAAATCTGAGGAAATATGACAACAATCACTGGAAAAAAATACAACCCTTCACAATTGGTTTACCTCTTATGTTCTCAGATCATACCTAAACTACCATGTGTTTTAACTCCTATGTTGCCGAGCTGTCAGTTTACGTCCCTACATGACAAGTTTCAGCTAATGCCACGTGGAATATCTCAGACAATGATAATGAATAGCCTTAATATCGGTGCACCCCAAGTGGGTGCATTTTCGCCCAGACATCTGTAATTGGCAGTGACCTTCACTCTGGCAGATGCTCACAGAACAAAACGAAAAGTTTCTTTAATGAGATGAGTCAAGACAACTAAAAACCTCGGCGACAAGAATATTCAAAGCTCTCACAGCTTGGGTAACAGAGACGGCAGTTGTAAGTGTCGGCCTCACTAAAGACCTCGAACAAATGAAATTGTTTATCAGCCTCTGTTTTGCTTGAAAGGGGCAGGAGTGTCATTCAAAAGAATGGGCTGCCGCTAACTTATTGCATTAAAGCAAGATGAGTCTGTTAATTAAAGTCACGGAAACACTGATCACAGGAAAAAGCTATTTTCTTAACATCACCAGCTGGATGACTGGTGAAGGTCTTTCTAATAAGGAAAACATTAGTCTTGTTTCGTTCAATGTGAAAACCACTGATATTTGTCAGATTTCCTGTTTGACTTCCCTGTAAAATCAAACGGTGATCGTAGCCATGTTGCGCACAGTAAGAAACAAGGCCAATCGAGAGGGAAAAAAAAGAGAAACCTGTCAAACAAACAGTCTCTGTTACTCACCATAGCCTGGGGGCCACGGAGGAGAAGAGGAGGTGTTCAAAAGAAAAAAAAGAGAGTGAATAGGAGAACAGTAAAAGAAGAAAAGATAAAGCGTTCAATTCCAATACAGCTTTTAATGAATAAGAAAAAAAACCCATAAGGTTAAGTTATATTTCATAATTTCACTAATTCACTGTTGTCAAACTGTCGTTATAACAACTTGTCCTGGACGATAATAAAATAACTGAATCAATAATTGTTATAGGTGAATTTGGTGATCCCATAATCCTGTAAAAGTTCTCTAGTTATACTACAGTATGTAGTATTTGTTCTGCGTACATGTTAGTGACAGTAATAAAGGAAGTCAAATGTTTTCTACATCTGTGATTAAACAGTACATCCAGGAGGAAGCAAGTCACTCACCAGCTCACTGACAAGAGGAATGGGTCTCCTCTTGCGCAGGTTAGGCATGCTGTCAATGCCAAAAGTTGTATTCCCCCTGGACACACACACACAAACGAACACACACCAAAGCTGTCAACTGATCAATATTCAAATGGTAAAAAATCCAAGTACAAACATCGAGTTAGACAATCGTGTTAAACATTCTTTCTCCGTCTATATAAGTGGTTCTTATCCTTGTTGCGCATTCACCGAACCCTTCGTTGATGGCCAAGCGGGGGGCATGTCATCACAAATCATATGAGTCGGGTGTGTGTCTTTTCCTCCGACGAACGCCTTAGAGTGACTCACCGAATCCCTAGGGTTCAATCGAACCCAGGTTAAGAACCACTGGTCTATATATATGAAAATACAAAAGGGCTGCAGCTAAATATTAATCTCAACTTATTTAATTTATAATTTAACAAAGATTATTCTACTACAAGTGGCACTTTGGCCCAGAGTCAATGTCTCTGTCATTGGTGTGGAACCCCAGGGTTCACCTCCTGGGCAAGTTCGAATCCCGGTTAGGGCGGTTGGTACCTTCCAGTGGACTCACCACCCGCAGGAAGGTTTGGTACGGTGCAGTGTGATTTGGGTGGCGACTGCTGCCCCCGCAACCCGGTAACGGATAAGCAGATGAAAATGGATGGATGGATGGATTATTCTACTACACTACAAGAGTCTAGAACAGTAACTGGTATGACAGTGATGGGAAGAAATATTTCACATTTAAAAACAAAAATAAATACTGTATATGACAAGTTATTTAGCTGGGTTAGCCTTTACAAACCAACACCTGGAAGTGTGTACTGACCCTGGCTT